CTTCACAGTCTTTCAGCTTCTCCTTAACTTGTGTTGCTCTACCTGAATTCTGTACACAACTAATACCAGAAAGTAAACCTCGTTATACTCTTTTTTATTTACCTTATCATTTGCGCGGTTGGGCACGCTAGCACTATTTCTTACGGTTCCGACTACCCAGAACGATTAGCGAAATTCAGGACCAACTACTTATTAGGTATGTAAGTATGGTCATATACAGGGTATATTTTTATAAATGAGTGCAGTACGAGGAATCTTCCATTTTCGTGATAATAGATTTAACGTCGGACTGTGATCTTAGATATTTTGTGATCTACACTGACTGTTTTACGGGGGCTTAATGTTACTGCAATGGTAATAATGAGGTTGTTTGCCTCTACGAGGTCAGTAGGAGTGCGGTTCCACGCTACGTTTCACGGGAACTCTAACGAAGGGAAAATTCCAATTGTGTGAACAACGCGGACACATTCTTAGATGTTAGATAAGTTTATAAGATTTTATGTACGTTATCTATTGTTTTAACAGATATTAACATTCTTCTAAATGTTAGGACAATTCCGGATTTTATATCTTATATTATCAATATGTTAATAAATAATAAGTACATTTTACCTGACGGATTATTTCGTACAATTTCTTACACTGAAATTACACTAATTGTTACGAGTCTGCGAGACTTACACAACCGCCTCACTCGTGACCAAATGTTTACCAGATGAGTAGGTCGCGCTGAAAAGTGGTTCTAGCTCCTACGAGACAAGCCACGCGCTCAAGTGTGCACCTTAGCACGCGCATCATTTTGGGTCCATCGGCACCGCACCCTTTTTTAAATCCCCTTCTCGCCCACCTATGCAGGAAAAGACAACCCCACCACACCCACGCCAGTTACGATTATTGCATTGGTCCTACCTCCTAACGCTCGCGCGGCATAGCACACACACTGTGTGTACAACGATAGCTACCCTCGGGGGGGCGCGCGCCGCGCGCACAACGCTCCCGATGGCGCGCGCACACATCACCGCTCGCTGTCCCAGGAGTGCGTGAGAGGTCCGCGCTCTCGCACGCACTCCATTCGTAAGTAAGTCTCGCACTCACGCTCCCTCTGGAAATTGTAAACATGCAGGCCAGGAGGAAACAAGGAGCGGACATGTGTCGAGGTCAAAACCGCGTAACCCGGACGAAGTAGTCTAACATAAACAACAACGACGGACGGTCGGCCTTCAAATCATCGTCTAATAAAAACTAATTTATGAGGTTTTAGAGGTGGGAGGTATTAACGTGAAACGAAGTCAACGGGACTATGAAAGGTTGCCGCCACCTCTCACGGCACGACTCACTGCGATAGATAGAAGATAGCTAAGCTTCTCAATATTTTTCAATCCAACGGCTGCAAAATTCTCACAGTGCTATCTGGTCAACGGACGACTCAAGTACTAATTACGTTGGAGCACTTATGAATTGATCTCTTATATGTTTTAACAGACAGTGATTTGTATGTGAACAATGGATTGTCGCAAGCGAAAAGGTAAGACTGGAAAAAAGCGTCGAAATAAAGGTTTTAAAGGAATACCTCTTTAGGGGGTAACGATAAAACAGCTCCTTTTGGGCTCGCGGGTCGATGAAGGCGAAAAACCCTGCACAGTGACGTGGTGCATTCAACTACGGGCTAACTAACCTACACTATCGACCGCTTCCGTTCGAGCCGGTGCGGAGCGAACGCACAGCGCGAATACCCGTACCCGCCCAGACAACTCACTACTGGCTCTATAGTTTCCGTCCAACCCGGTATGTTCCCTAACCCGAGTACGTGCTCTTCGGAGGTAGACTAACGCCAGTTAGGATGAGGTAAAAAGAAGTGGTTCCCTTTCGTTTAAAGCCGACCCGGATGTGAGATGCGCGTTTGTCTGCTCACGTTAAATGCAAAGCTGGTATTGTAGATCTACGCACGTCGCACAAAGTGAGAACGATTCCGATGAAGTATACTCTATTACCCCTATCACCTACTCTTGCGCGGGTCAGGTTGGTGTGTTGTTCTTTAAAAGGCTTCTTGATTTGCGCTACGTCTAATATACAAACATAAAATTTAAATAATTTTTATTACTTGATCGTTAGTTTTTTTGTTCCCTACTCGGACACGAAACTCACTGAAACGAGTTCGGTCCAAGACGACAAAAGTTGAAAAGGGGTGGTCTGTCCAAACAACCACAGACCCACCTAGCAACGTACAACGTGGAAAGGCTCAGTGCTTCACGCACGAGGTGTCCAAGAGAATGGGTCATACGGCTGATAAGGAACCAAACAATCATAACTGTAATAATCTAAAGCGATAAATCTTTACCCACATGACGGCTAAGCACGTGGACCGGTTCATTAGGTCTGACAACACTCCCGATATTAAGAAACAACAGACAGAGAAGAATATGCCTTGAAATCTGTCCATCAGACTAAAAGTAATTTTATAACAGGGCGCCCACCCACCAATTTCCACGCTAGTTGCCTCCCGCCCACTCACTCACTTTTGAAACATATTTCTGCTCTACCACGACATCACACACACCACATCCACCTCGTGTGTAAATGGGAAAAAACGCGCTGGCTAGCGGCTACTCACACACACGCACTGCACAACCCACCTACTGTGTCATATAGCGAATAAACCTCGTCACAGGATTTGTTCCAAATGTAGCAGGATTATCTTCTGTACCTGTTCGTAGCATCACTGCATCTCGAAAAGTATATAAAACGCTGATGAGATCAACTAACAGTTATTCTACCAGTATCCTGAATGAGAACTATTCACATTCACAACGGAGTCTAATTTGGACAGAACTCCCTACGAAGGACCTTTTTTGACGTTTTTATCACTACCCGTCGGATACGACACTCCTTATCGCCTGGTTGAGAATTTTAAGTCGGGTGCGCACACTCGAGTACGTACAACCGATAACACGAGCCATCAGAAGGCTATGCTGCCGTTTTCGCCAGCGTCCGTAGAGTCTTTTTATAAGTACCCCACCGTTCTCCCACCGTCCTCTAAAGACTCCCCACGTAGGGTACGACCGTCTCTCCCATCCGCGATATACACACAAAAGATATTTAGGCGTTACCACATATAGTTATATACAAATTGAAACCTTTCGGTGTTACCAACTATAAGCATTAGACATACCATCTGATGCCGCATCACGTTTTTTGTTAAAGCGAGAAAAACTCCGTGACCCAGTTAAAACTCTAAACACGGATACAAACTAAGATATTGTCAGCAAAATAAAAGTCCGAAATACCATATCCATTATGCATGTTTTTATGTGTAAATCATCACAAATACAGAACTTGATATCAATACATGATTAAACGGCAGTCTTCATCTAAAGAGGATTTGTTATAGTGGTTCAATCGCACATAGGATTTGTCATCGCACGTTTGTCTAATGCGGGTGGCGACAACACAAAACTCGACACACAACGTAGGTACAGTATATCTCTATAGTCATCTTACACACAACTTACAGAGAGGAACCTGATTCCCAGATCTCACGCCTCGAGTATTAGATAATACCACACGATCAAAAAGAGGAAAACACTTATTGGTTCCTACGTAAATCTTTAAAAACACCTCACACATATTTAGTTTGATTCAGAAATATATACAATATGACCAGCTTTGTTTTAAGGGATTAATAGGTATGTGAGCAATATTACAAACAATGTATACGATAATGTATGTCATTAAAATTACATATATTGAATAAATACATGTTTTTTCTTTAAATATACAGGACATCAAAGGAGATGACGTCACCAGAGACCTGCAGAAATCTACCATGGGCATATATGTCATCAACAAGGAGAGTGGAGAACCTGGACATTATGACGACGTTGGGATTTTTGTTGAAGGACTAATCATTCTGGACAACATTGGATCTGTTGCCCGAGCTTGTGCCATCATGCTGGGAGTCATCTATACACTGAACATGGCTTACCCCAAAGAGCTAAGGTACTACTATGAATTCATTCAGAAAGTGCTCTTGCAAATGGATGGTGAAAGGCTTTCCCCCAAAGTCCTTGGACTGAAGAACATGCCGGACTGTAGGATTTCTTCAGCCGCTCGTGAAGCGATGTCATTTAAAAAAACAAAACACCAGTCAAACCTCAAAGGTTGGGAGAAGAATGTGGAAATGTTGATGGACTTGGAAGACATGTTTCATGTATTAATGTGAGGAAGGTTACATCCTCCTCAGCTGTTTAAGTCACATGCTTCATGTTACGTCAGGATTTATTCGCTAAGTCTGTTTCCACTGCACTTTGCTGTCATGGCCTCCACCTCTGCCTAGTCTGATTTCTCACATTCACTGTGACATATAGGCTACAGTATGTATGAATCAGAATCGGTATGCACACCAGATTGGAGGCAGCAGCTTGTCCATTCGAAGGGTTGGAATTCAAACGGATGTAGTATTTTTTTGAATTTGTATTGTGCTAAAATGCATTGTTCTTTTATAGTGGAAATGGAAAGTTGGCGGTTTGCCAAAGTTGTTCAAATTATCAATAAATGCATTTTTTATATATATATAGAGATAATTCATTACACTATTATACATTATTATTATATTATATTTAGCCCAACAATATAGTTGATTTCAATCACTAGCTTGGGTCAAATAAACAACCCAGCACATGGGTTAAAATGATCCAGCCCAGCACATGGGTTAAGACAACCCAGCGTGTGTTCTGTCCTATAGTGACTCAGCAGCTGGGTTATGATTGGGTTATTTTTTAACCCAGTAGTTTTAAGAGTGCTATTAAAAATGGTGCCTTGCCCAGAATTATATGATGTAATAACATTAAAGGTATGATATCTTAAAGTCAGCTCTCTACAGTAGCACTGTATGGGAGAGTGTTTTCTTAGCAACCAGGATGTAAAAGTGATGGAGTTTCTTAAGCATTGATTTGTGTAGTAGACAATGATGATAAAATATTGAGTTTAATCTTGAAAAATAGTAAGAAAGAAAAGGACGCCGCCAATGTGTTTTAGCTCATTACCTCGATAACAGATCCTGTATAATTTTAGTGGCATTTTTGCTGGCATGCAAACGTGCTTCAACTGACCGAAACATTTCCATTAGGAGAAACGTGCTGCAGTTTAAAAATAGAAGCATAATAAAAAAAACTCAAATGTGCCAAAATACATGCAAAGGAAGAAACAATTTCCAAGCATTCAGAAAACATTCACCAACTTGACGAAACATGCGCAGCGTTTGCTAAAAGCGCTGCAAATACAAAATGCTGCTGGAAGCTAAACACAACAGAAACAGGGACCCGAGCGCTTGTTGATGTTCAGGAACTATAAAGTTAGCACATTTGTGTTTTAAAATTTTCATAATTTCTTAAGCTGCAGGCACGTTTCTCCTAATTTTTTGGCTACCGTAATTAGCAGACTTGAAACTTAAATGCTATAATTTGTTTTATGTTTATATGCACATTTGTTGAAAGACCGCACAACAAATCAAACAAATGTCCTAAACAAAACGGGGGTTTGCAAAATAATGTGAAGAATACATCATGTGTAAAACTAAAGCAGGGGAGGAAGGTGTGACGAAGTTCATGCGCTGAATCGTTACTTTTATCACCGTGCAGACTGATGTCCTGTTGAGTCTACGAGGGACAAAAAGACTCTAAAGCACAAAGCCTAGTCTCCCACCCGTGGACATTGGAAAACAGGATGTCTCCTCTACCCTGAGATGGCTGCTTCTATAGACCCGTGACCTTTGACCCCCTTTTTGCCTTGAGACCTACAAATCTGCCGGGCCAAAGATTGAAAAAAAATCTGGAAAGGGAAACAAAGAGGACTTATACTGAGAGTGATGCAGCTGGACAGCTGGAGCCTCGTCAGAGAGAAATCACTTTTATTTCCACGTGGACATAAAAAGCTGTGAGAGAGGAACTTTATTTCACAAAAGGGGGTGAGATGTAGTTTGGCACATGGCAAGGCTTTTTATTTTTATTTATTTAAGCTGTCAAAGGTTTTTAGAAAACATTCTCAGAAGATCATTGAGAGATGTTTCTAAGAACACTTTCACAGATGATGTGGAGGACTCTGGGGCCTTGATTGGCTCGGGTTGAGAGGTCTGATGAAATTTCATCCAGAGGGCCTGACTTTGTTGCATAATTCATAACTCCACTTTGACCTTGAACAAACTGCATTCCCCGACATGTGTTAAAACGACACATCTTAAAACCTTCTGGACAGAAGGTTGCTCAACCCATGAATTAAGATTAGCCTTCTGTGAATCTTGTATACTCCGAAACACGTGTTTAACCTCCAACCCTCTCAAGTCTCTTAGCTTAAAGGGGCCCTGTTATGGGAACTTTTTAGCATCTTCCCTTTCCCGACGTGTTTTATGGATGTTTTTATGCACATGATCTGCAAAGGTTACAATTTCCCTCCAGAGGGAGTTTATCTCCCACACTCCCCCCCCCTGCCTTAAACGCCTCACTTTGATTTTTTATTTCTGTAACATAGTGACGTCATAACACATTATGTAACAATAACGCTTCTATTGGCTAGAGCTCCAACAAATCTTGATAGGCTAAGGGGCAGGACATCTCTAAGTGGTTGACCAATCACAACAGAGCCGGCCAGCTAACCAATCAGAGCAGACTGGGCTCTGGTTTCAGACAGAGGGTTTTTGAACATTAAAGCATGTAAACATGTCACAGTAGAGGCACAGAATACAAACACCCCATTATACAAATGAGCATAATAGGCTGCCTTTAACACCTAAGCAGTGAGAGCTATTTAATGATTTGACTCCATACATGGATTCTGCATTTTGTTTTGGTTTTAATTCCTTTAATCAAACAACTTAGACTCATTAACTTGAAACCGATCTTTCCCCAGAAGGATCCCTCACTGAGCTAAACCATTTAATCAACAGCATTTCATATTTTTAATTAACACAACACGAGATGCAGCGTCCTTCTTCGTCATTAGCAAGGAATAAATTAAACTCAGGCTTAATGAAAATGCTCAAGACAGATTTGGGTTGTACTGAATGATATATGAAGCTGTGTGAAGATTTTCTTTCATTTGAATCGCAGCCTTTCAATTAGCGGTAGGGCGCTACAGATTGCTGTAGGAGATTTGAATTATAAGTGTACATATCACTGAAATGCAGTGTATTGATGTGCGTACGAGCTGGGGAAATGAAATTGCTTTGGATTTGGAAAAACACCTTTTGTCTTGGACGTTTCAATCAGAACAATAAGCGGAAACCTCATTAAGGCCGAACACAGACTGACGTCTAAACTTGTGATTGCTTCTACAGTATATGCCTGGAAACTAACAATGGAAAGAAGAAGGCCTCTGTGAATTCATAATAGAGCTGAGTTTTCCCACCAAATTGTACCTAATTTATTACTATTTCAACTAATCTGCACCTGGAAATATATGGAAAATACCTCTGGGTCGGCTCTTTTTCCTTCTAATAGCTCTTTTATTACATACAGAAGGACCTGGCCATGACTCAAATGAAATTCTCTATCAGTATTAAACAGCCCCAGGGTTAAGGAATAACATATGAGCACTAAAAGAAGTCCTGGACTCAAATCAAGAATCTTTAGTCCACTAAGTTCCACTTGCCAGCCTTTCAAGGTTTCCTTAATCATAGTTTGATTATTCATCATAGTTTCTAGATATGGAGTTCTTGCTTTATCATAACAGGTGGTCTTATGGGGGAGATTGTAAACCTTGTCTCTGGTTATCAACTGTGTTTTTCTCAAATAAGGGATAGTGGCACTGTGCCAAGGGGCTGCAAAGTTTTAGATTACAAACAGTTCAAATGGCTTCCAAAAGAACAAATGACAGTTAGCATTCGCTTCAGGGGGATCCTTGGAAAATCTTTTCCCATGAAATAGATTTCCTGGCCCCAGTAAAAAAGAAGAATCCCTGGTCTATTGCTCTCAGGTCATATGATGACAACTGAGCCCCTCATCTACTGATAGAGACCATGGGGGAAATCTCACAACACCTTGTGTTGAAAGGATTTCTTCAAACAAGTTTTCCCTTGATTTCCTGTAGCATCAGATGCAGAAATGTGGCAATAATTAGAAATGTCTCTGGAAACAAGTCCCAAGAAATCAAAAGAATGTACCCGTAGTTCTGTCGGTTTATCCAAAGCTAGATTAAGCTTTTTGGTCTGTGTAAAGACCAGCCTTCATTCTGCATCTGCACATTATTCCTTAACTGGTTGAAAGCTCTGGAAAAGTGGACCTTAGGTTAAAATTTGTAAACAATAATTTCAAGAATAAAATGTCATGTTCAACATGGCCTATGTAAATTATTTTCACTTGCTAACACATTCACTTCTCTGGTGCAATTAATACTCTAGCACCAAATGTGTATTAATCTACAGTCCAAGAGTCTCTAAAAATGCACCTGAGCAACATTTGCTAAAAACTAGCATGCCCTAGTCGAGAAAGACACTGAAACCGTACAAAAAAAATATACATATTCTTGTCATGGAGTTTTCGGCTGAGAGCCACAGGTGAAGGAGGGCAGTAAGAAGGCATTTAGAAATACATCAACAACATTTTTTTTTTGATCTGGTCACAGGATTTGCTGACAGTTCTGAAGAATACAGAATATTGCCAGCGAAGATTGGTCGAAATGCAAACTCCAAATGGAGTCGAAATCAAGACGGCGGACAAGAAGGGGCTCCATTTGGTTGACATTTTATTTCATGGTGGTAGGATCACAAGACAAAGGTCATAGAGTTAGTAATGTTCAGGTCATGCCACTCGTACGCGGTGCACTGGCCTTTGAGGAGCTTTGCAGTCAGACAGTAGTTTACAGAGGCCGGACATGGAGGGTCATTACAGACATAAATAAGGAACAGAAAATAGATTCCAAAACAGTAAATAGAAGATCTTTTCGTAAAAAGCCGGAGGGGACATTTGCAGAGCCCCCCCGGGATTATTTTTGTGTACAGTATGAGCATTATTACTGATATAGTTATCATTATTATGTATTACTCCTTTACATTATGGGGATGAGGCTAATACACTTGCTAAAATAAGGAAAAAGTTATATGGATGACGTCACCTGCTCAGAGAAGAGGTGATTGGGTTTTTAAGGCAAATAGTTTCAAACCATAGACTGCTATCGTCTTAATTTTCTCGAGTCAATCTGAATACACAGGGATTTCTCCTTTATTAATGTCGCCACCTGAGCGGATCAAATTCAAACAATGGTACAATAAGACCAGTCCAAGGTTAACAGTGCTGGAATTTTAAACGTGTCTTGCATCAGAAAATAAGGGTTTCCTGGTGTGGACACTCAACAACACAGTTATAGCTTCAGGGCTTTCCCTCCCCACATGATTATATCATCATGTGGACGACATGGTTCCAGTGTATATTACTAAAAACATAAACCTCCACATATAACACATTTGCTAAGTTCACAAGGGCTGTACAAAAAACAATGATGATTTAAGAAGGAAATTAAGAAAAGAAAAAGTAGCACAAGACCATTCGATACTCGACCATGAACAGGCATGATTTTGTGTCAGAGTATTGCCAAAGTTCTCATATCAAAACAAAGTGTCCTTTAAGTCGGTCAGCGCGGCTTATTGTGGACGACTTTACCACGTTGCATCAGTTCACTGAAAGTTACAGAATTCGCACTAGTAATACAAACCCATGCGTCACTATGTTAATTTGCAAGTACTGTAGGATTATGCATCCCATGTTTGCGACTGTTATGGCTCCAAAAAGTCACAACGTCTTTCTCTGGACAGCCGGAAAACAAAAGAGTCCTCCAGGAATGCTCCGAGGTCAAATACGAAAAGAAATGAAGTCTCAGAAAGAGTTTTTGAAGATATTTCTGTTTGACGGGACATTCCCAAGAGTGGTAGCTCTCCTCATGATAAGATCTCTGCTGGCCTCCTTCCTGTCTGTCCTTCTTCAGTCTTTGCTTTCAGCACCTCCTTAAGGTCAGATATGGTAACAACCTCTTCCCCGTATGCACCATTCAATGTCCTGCAAAACTAACTGCTCCCAGGAAAAAAAGTTTTAAAAAAAGGCCATAAAAGATACAGGGAATGAACAAATATAAAACATTATTCCGAGCTCAGTGGGAATTATTTTCAAAATAAAACTAGAAACAAAAACCAGATTCAAACCAACACTGCAGAAGTGCATGCATTTATAGTGGTCATCATTAGTTTGGATTGTAAAACAGAACGCACAATAGTATATGAGAAGCAAAATTCTCCAAAGAGAACCCATCTTACATATTCACAGTCTCAGGTATTATTTATATACTCTATATTTATAACATTTATTCATGTCTTGACTTATGACTAATGATATGCGCGTCACTGTGGAGCGCTCTCTCCGTCATGTTGGCTTGAAGTGTTAGTGAGTTATATTTCAAAACTAGAGGCTCTGATGGGATTCAGATTGAGTGGAGAGTTTTTTTTTCTTTTTTGGGGAGGGCGCTCTGCGATGGGGTTGATGGAGCGGTCTCGACTGTGTACTTTCTCACTGTAGCAGCTTGACTGATATCTGAAAAGTCCCATTAGGAAAAAACAGCGGGCTACTGGTGGCTGATTACATTAGAGTTTCTTGTGTGGAGTCGCGCCAGCTGGCCGCGGCATCAAAGAGCCGCAGCGGGGGGGGGGGAATGTATGTCTATCATGAAGGTACGGTATGGGCCATGCTTGGGGAATGTGGACGATAGATATGGCACCAAGACAAGGCCGTCACCAGAGATCTGCTGCGACGTCCACCAGTGTTCAAGTAATGAGCGAGGAGGGAAAAAAGGAGCAGGCTTCTTTTTTTTTTTAAGTTGGCGTTTGTTTTAAAACAACAAAACTGACAAGAATAATCTCCCTTTCACAGAGATGCCTGCTTTTTGAAAAAAAAAAGAAGATATATATGAAGGGGCAGAAAGAAGTGTGTTCTGTTTATGGAGGTGCAGATAAAAAAAAAAGAAGAAACAAATATATAAAACAAAAATTAAATCAACATTTTCTTTCCACATAAAAAGCAATGAAAAGTATACAAAAATAGAAAATAATTACAGCAGGAGACATGGCGCTATGGAGGGGGCGAGTGGGAGGTTTCTTATTTTTCTCCGTTTAATTTTTCAAGACTCGGTCTCTGCTGGGTTATTTGGCGGCGGAGCAGTGTAGTATTTTGGGGCTGTTTAGGGCGTCTTCCACCAGGTGGAGCTCCACGCCGTCCACCACTACGTCCTTGATGCAGCCCATGTAGCCCGTGCTGTAGGCTTTGGGCAACCGACGGGCCACCGCCAGCTCCTCCAGACCACCTGGGGGGGGGGACAGGAGGGTTAATACAGGAAGTTCAGAGTAACGCTTATACACACATATTAAAAAAAACAACTGAAAATTAGAGAATATAATTACTCAAACTACAATTCCGAATCTACAATAACATTTGTCACTGCCACATTTTGAGAATTTCACACATTTTTGAATGTTTTCAGACAGACTAAGTACTTCGAAATACACATTTAGTTGTTTATTTTAAAGAGGCCCTATTATGCTTTTTGATGTTATCTCATTCCTGATGTTTGCAATATAGGTTTTTGTGCATGTAAATGGTCTGTCAAGATTAAAATCCCAAAGTTCACTCCGGTAGTGACATCACTTCGTCACATTGTACGTGATAGGCTAAGGAGTGGGACATCTCTAAGTGGTTGTCCAATCTCAACAGAGCCCCCTTTAATGGCTGTGTCTATTTCTGTCTGTAGATTTCTTCTAAATGTACTAAAAGCTGCCTCATTAGAATTTTTAATACACAAGTGGATTAAGTGCAAATACAATGTGTAGCCTTGCAAGCTTCGTTTGCAATAGGGCAGTTATCTCATGTTTTACATTTAGAAGCACACACCAAACTTTCTAGATGTATTGCTTTCTATATTCTAAACATTTTGTTGTTAGAAGTATGGTGAAATGTTTTATCTGATTTATGGAATGATGTAAAGCGATGTCTAAACTTTCCCTTCCACATGCTTTAAATGTAATATGTCAATATCCAATGTTCAAATGCGTAATTTGCATATTTAAACATTATATTGCGGAAACTTGAATTAGCAGAAAGTATTGTTTTCATGTCAGTTATCAACTGGAGTAGTTTTAATTGTGAAACTAGTGTCTGTATTTGAATTATTACCATATTCGTATGCAGTATCTCCACTCTAAGGGCTACTGCAGTTATTGGACAAGCACTCAACCTCTAGTTGCAACATTTCCCATAGTGCATTGCATTCCCCAGCCAGCTTCTCTCTTACGAATGTTCAAGATTGGAGCCAAAAGCTAAAATCCCGAGATGATATCTTTAAGGATGAAGACATTAAACAATTATCATCAAGGTATGCCCCTTTAAAGACAAAAAAAGATGAAGGATAGGATTTCAGTTCAAGATGAGACCTTGGAGATGCCTTCAAAAGGCTGTACCAGAAATATATTTTCCTAGAAAAATGTATTTCTGGGTCTAAATGAGTTACTTGTGTTGTCAGACTTTGTACTTCTTTTATTCTCATGGCGACGCCAGCGGATGTACATGACAGGTTGACACTTTATATGTCAAAGCGCCAAGATCAAAGGCAGAAAGCTGCATGCCAGCCAGAGTTAGTTAAGATAGACGGGAGTGAAGGTTCCCTCATTTGAAACGATGAACAAGTGCTCAAAATGTTCCACTAATGAAAGGTGATGACAGAAAGTAACATTATATATACCTGACATCCTCATTATATCTAATTTGCTTCAGTCTTAAGTGCTAATCGCTCATTTCCCTCCCTAAATATCACCTGTCCATCAAATACTCCAACGGCTTTTCTTTAAGTTTGACTCCTTATAGGTGCTGCTCTCTTCTGTGCTAACCACCCACTTCTTCCTGTATTAATTCAAAACAAACCAAAGAGATCAAATAAAGCCATATTCTGTTCGACTGTTTCTGAAAAGAGATGTTGCTGTTCAATTTTATTTAAAAGGTCCCATGTCATGCTTTTCTGGTTATTACCCGTCCCCTTGTATGTTATGTAGCTTTTTCTGCATGTAAACGGTCTGCAGAGTCACAAACCCTCAAAGTACACCCTGTAGCGAGTAAAACTCTAACACAGAAAATACCTATCTATGCTGCCCAAATGGACCAATCCTTGGAGCCGTTACGTTACGTCCCCGTTACGTTAAGTCCGTGGATTGGTCCAAATTGTCCAATCCGCGGACTTCCTCACACACACACACAATCATTTCTCAGCTGCAGCTTCACCGATTCCTCCTCCCTGAGACGGTGTGTTCGGGCTGGGTTTCGCTGTGTCTCGCTCAGTGGTGTACTGGGCATTAGACGCGGGGGTACGCCGTACCCTCACTTATTTGAAGCATGATCTTTTTTTTTAATAGTCTGATAAATATAAAATCATTGCCAGTGTTATCAGTTGCAAGGGTGTATTTGTTGTAATAATGACAAAAACATAATACATTTCACAGTAGTTATAATAAAAACTTAAAAACGATTTCCTTAAAAAATTATGATTCGCCATTACGTGGCGAGCTGGGGGTGTGTCAGCGACACACCCACGGCCAGCTCGTCGCCCGTGGATTTTGCGGCAGCTATTTCCCTCAAGAACGCCAACGAAAAAGCTCTATAATGGCAGGCAAACATTTTTTACTTGACTTTTGTAAAAAGAATATCATTCACAAGAAGAAAGAGGCTAGCAGCACCGAAGCTACAAGTGAAGCTGCTACTAGCACTACATCATCAGAAGAGCTGATTGTTTGGGATGACCTAATTAAAATAGCGTCCCCCCAGTAAAAATATCCCCACTACACCACTGGTCTCGCTGTCTCGCTGACGGCCACTGGGCTCATAGGGAGGGGGGGCAGGAGCTCCAACAAGCCGTTTAGGACAGAGAGTGAATACACACACTATACAGAGATGCTGTATGAGAAACCAATGCGATTTTGGAAAATTGAACAATGTAAATCTATTCTAGTAGACCTCAACAATGGAATTATGTTCAGTAGAAATGACCATGACATGGGACTTTTAAATCAAATGTTGTAGAGCTGTAAAATACCAAGTACCATTCACCTTCATTATAGTGAGGTGGAGAAAAAGACCCAGGGGCCCTATCATGTTATTTTCAGGTTCATATTTGTACTTAGTGCCTTTACTGCGACTTGTTTACATGATGTAATGGTCAAAAGGCTCTTTATTTGTTCTCATATTGTCTGAGCTTCAGCACATCTCTCACCCTCTGTCGGAAACCAGAGCCCAGTCTGCTCTGTTGTGATTGGTCAACCGCTTAGAGATGTCCCACCCCTTAGCCAATCACATTATGGCCCAATCCCAAACCACGCCCTACCCCTACCCCTCCGTTTGCGCGTTCGAACGGAGGGTCCGCCACATTAAGTGCTGTTCCAAACCAACGAGTCTGGAGCGGTGTGGAGGGGGAGTAGGCTATCAAGCCCTCAAACAGCGAGTCTGCATCGGTGCTGACTGGAGACCGGTCAGGTAGACCGGTCTACCTGGCCGGTCTCAACGCTGTGTGTGTCCGTCAGAAAACACGCTGTTTACAAGTAGTTCCAGCAAACATCCACTGATAAATTGCGATGTTAACAACCTCATGATAACCTCATATGTTTTTAACTTAGGATAATACATGGGGCGAAGACTGCGAGCTAGTTCAGGCAGTCAACTCGAGCACCAATGATACATTAACACGTGACGCACCTCGTCCCTCTTAAGTGCCAACCAAACACATTTTCCTAAACATGCCACTCTATTTAAGCTGCCAGGTCTTCCTGCCTCTGCCTCGCTAATGCTGCTGCCGCCACTGCTGTGTTCACTTGCTATTGCTATGTTCATGTTCCTGCTGCTGTGTTTCATGTTGCTCCTGCTCGCCTGCCCCACCACCGCCCCAGCTTCCACCCCAGCTTCCACCCCAGCTTCCACCTGTAGGCTCGGGGGATAGTTATCTAATCATCACTCAATGTTCTTTGTAAATCTGTGGAGTGATGAAGCCCGAGCCTAGACGCCAAACTCAAACTATATGCTGCTTCTAATAAACATATTAAGAAACATGCGAGTTGTCTGACTGAACTGTGGTTAGTCTAGTAAAAGGTAAATGTGTGCATTTTATTATAAAGTTGTGTATATTTACAGACTGTTGCAAAAACTAAGAAGCTTATAAACATCAGGTTTAAAACTAAAAAAGCTTTACATAAAAATAACACAATGAAATATGTTTGGAGTTTTATTTGAGTTATTAATTTACATTTTTTGTCTAAGAGATGCTGATTTGAAACCGTTGTTAAATACAGTTAAGGCATTTCCTGTTTCTGGCGGAGAGAGGGGAGTTTGTCCCAGAGCTTGCCGCTGTATTTACTCCCTCCATCTGACAAAAGCCGCGAGTGTCACTCCACGGAGGGGTAAGTGTGTAGGGGTAGGGTGTAGGGCGTGGTTTGGGATTGGGCCTATATGTGTTGGAGCGCTATCCAATATAGGCGCAAGTGTTTCATAGTGATGTCACTATCTGACGTAAGTAAACGGAGGAGTTTAATCGAGCAAGAAACTCTCTATGGAAGGACCTTTGGGATTTGAGTCTTTGAAGACCATTTAAATGCACAAACATCTACATAACACACTACAGGAAAGAGAACAACACCAGCAAGCATGATAGGACCCCTTTAAATTGATTCTTTATGAAAACATGTTAGAAATGGCTGTCTTTTAAGCCTCTTAAATATGAAGATTTCTTGATTTTCCCTATATAATATCATATCAAAGGATAATTTCTTTAGGTTTGAGACTGATGAATTATGACATTTACGGACTTTTAGAAGATTTTCCTGTATTTCCTGACATTTTGTATACCAAACGATTAATCTAGAAGATAATCAGATTCATCTGGAATTGCAGCGCAAGAGATAAAAGGAAAAACTTGTATTTTTACTAAAAATGAGCCTTTGAATCACTTGTGCGCTGGATGTAAATTGTCTCACTAAAGCGTTTTATCTATCAGTCATAGAACGTTTTAAAAATGGAAATCTCTTAATATGAACATATTGTTGATTTGTACTTCAAAGCGTTTCAGCCCCTTGCATTTTGCATTCAGCTTTAACTTTTCTGCACTTTTTCTTCCTATTTGAAGTCATCCAGCGCAATCTTTTTCTTCTTATAGTCTTATACCGTCCTTTTGAGGAGACGTGATGACCTAATTGCTGGGTGTGCTGTTGCCTACTTTCTCCTTTTGATGATGTTTTCAGCTTCCCTTCTTTGAGCCAGCACGCTCAAAGTCATTAGTGTCTCTCTCAATAAATCAGCGTGAAACGTCTTTATGGAGAGTTTGAGATCTGTTACTGGGAGAGCTTCTGACCCCAGGTTTTGATGTTTTACCTGCTCTCGGTCTCCCTCTCTATCTACACTTCCAGAACTCTCCAGCATCTTCCTCCTTTTCCCCACATCCCCTATCTCCTCCCAGTTTTCTCTCTTTCTAATCTGTCTGGCTGAGAGATCATTTCCCCGACGAGCTCTTTACATCCCGTCCCTGCCCCCTCTAATCGGATTGCGCGCCTCAGAATCGGGGATCGACAGGGCTAATTTCATGCAAGTTACAGATGAATTAATGATGAACAGTCTGAAGGGGATTTAAAAAGGAGAAGGGCTCTCGACGGGGGGGCTGTGTGAGGATTATGTATTCCTGCTGCAGGCTCTCAGCACCTGTTCCGGCGCTCTGCCTCCCTGTGAGTGTTTGTGTACCTGAGTACACCTCTACATGCAGCCTCTCTTCTAAGTCACTCTGCACTCAAAAGGAAACTTGACTTTATTTCAATGTTATTTCCTCTGAATGCTCTATACCGCTGTGCCGTTTGTGTTCTTTCAGAAAAGCCATTTCTCCGAGCTAAGTTCAGACCGAATATGAGAAGCAGATAACAAGGCAGCTTGGTCATTTTCAATTCAGGAGAGCGGACAACTTTTCACTCAGATAGCCTTTCATTTCTCAAGTCAATACCTGAATGGGCTCGGACACTTTTTTTTTGCCCAAACCGCAATGTGTTTTCCCTGTCTGAGACTTTGCTTATCCTCTGCAATGCCAATGAGTTCATTGCTCATTTTTGGCAGCGTGTCGGAAGAAAGAGTAGTACAGAATTACAAGTATTCCCTTGACTTTCTTTTACATTTGTGGGTACCAGTGATGGTCAAATTGGTCTACTCTGACATGTTTAAATGCTTAAATGTTTGAAAAATGCTTTATGCGAGAGAGAAATTCTGTCTGGACAGAACTTTTCGGATTTTAGCCTTTCCAGACGACTTACATGCACAAAAACCTATACAACCTATGAATGAAAACCCCTTAAAAACCATGAAAGGGCCGGTTTAGGAGAAAATGTTAATGTAGGAATTGAACTTGAGTATTTTAACAGAAATGTATTGGTACTTTTATTCAACTACAGATCTGAATGTTTCTTTCACCAGTGGTGGGGACCTACCGAGCCACAGCGCTCCGTCTGTGTCCAGCTGCGTGGCTGCCAGGGGCGACGACCCTGTTACCGCTGCCTCATTGCCGACCTGCAGAGAGCCGTCTCTGAGTGCTCTGAGGAGGAGAAAGAAGAAGAAGAGAGAGTTGAAAAGTGATGCATGCATGGCGTGGTGAATAGCTGTAAATTGGAGTTTCATTTAATCTCAAGCATCGAGACTCCATTGCTGTGCTGCCACACACTAAGCACTCCCATAACTGCCTTTGCCAAGCAGCGTTCTAAATGTGCCTGTCTACAAAGCTAACAGATGTCGCGAGAGCGCCATTCATTTTAGGTGGCTTGGCGCTACGCATTAGCGCGCACTTAAGAATTGTGGCGACGGGGCTAATTTGAACCCATTAAAGTGTGTTTCCAGCAGTAAGAGGGTGTCGTTAACGGCAAGCCGCAAACACAGATATCTATGTAACCACATGCTGCGGTTTACACCATCATCACATTCAAATTATGTCATCTCATGTGGCCTCCCTGCAAAAACCTGGGATGTTTGGATGCGGCGTCTTCTTTCGGAGGATCGATTAGTCTCGCTTTACATGATGAAGCCGATCTAATTATCCCCCCCGATTCTTTCACCCACAAGCAAATGTTGGGCAAAGATAAAGCAGAGATCCCGTGGAAGGTGTTAAGTGGGTCGTTCTCAAAGTTCAGGAAGTTAATTTGTTTCTAATGAAGGAATCCGTTAATGTGACATCGCTGTGTGGCAAAAATAAATCTGTGCTTTGTTTTTTTTATACATCTGAATGAAGATTCATGTGTTAAACTAAAACCTTTGTTAGTGTGACTAATGTGTGAGTGATTTATTTGGTGTACACTCTAAACTCATACTGTACGTTTAAGACTGAAGTATGAGAATAAACACTATTACTAGTGTCAACCTTAATGATAAGAACATTTTTATTTTATGATTCTATTCATGCTGATTCTATATTAAGGATTCAAATAGGATCAACATATATAATAAGAATGCTGTATGTATACATTATATACAGTACATACACTTTTTTAATATATAATTTATTCCTTTTCTGGACACATTACCGCTAACGTGCCAATATGTTTTGGGATGCTGCCGCGTTTTCTTCCTGTTTGAACATTATTAACGTGGCTAAGCAATTCCATGCTCGATGCGTCATACTCATGCATGACCGGGCATGAAAATAACCTTAATGTGAAACTAATCAGAGGCATCTCAGTGCAGGGGGATCACTAGTGTCTAGCATTGAATTCATGCTTCAGATCACACACCGTTCGCAGCAACACAAACACAATATGGATTAAGTGTAATCCCGGGGTAACAGCTGATCGGCGGCTCACCTGCTGGCCTTGATGCGTATCCAGCGGTTGGTGTCGACGCGCACCGAGGAGCGCAGCACCACGGGCTTGGAGCCCAGGTCGTATGTCATCTGGATGTGTCCGTCAACGATGGCCAGGGCGATGTAGTCGGAGCGCTCCACGCCCTTCCCGCTCCACAGCACCAGGCCCTGGGTTGCCTCCGTCCGGATGCTCAGCTCAAATTTGTTCACCAGCAGAGCCTTCTCGCTGCAGGACAGGAAGCACATCAGTTAGCTATTTGGACTGATTTTTCAAAAAGAGAGCTAACCTTTGGCATACATAGCCTTTGTCATGTATGGCATATGTGAAACTAGAAATCTCTGCTGTACATTACCCATGATTCATTGACATGGTTTTCTACAGTCTTACGTGGTTTTAAAGCTGAGCTAAGGAGTAGCAGGAAGCTGTTTTGATATTAGCTTCCCTACATTCTACTGAGCCTGTACTGCATTGCTGCTCAGTGCTTTCTGTGTGTGTGTGTGTGTGTGTGTGTGTGTGTGTGTGTGTGTGTGTGTGTGTGTGTGTGTGTGTGTGTGTGTGTGTGTGTGTCTTGAGGCAGCTTTTTGATCTCTAGTCCCTCGAGCTGCGGGGGTGATTTGGATGCAAAGACTTGGCGAATTCCACCTTACGTCACTGCCACTGGTGGGTGTGCTCCTACTGTACCCTCACACATACAGTCCTGCATACAAATACCCTAACAGAGTCCTGAAGAGATAAATAGCAGACATCCAGGGTCCCAACTTCAATCTGTGTGTATGTGTGTGATTGTGTGTGTGTGTCATCAATCAGCATGTGTGCAAAGGTCTGCACATCTGCCAAGTGGATCTACTTCCACCTTCTTCAAAGGGCATCCGAACACAAAGACACAGACAAGGTGAGGACACGTACAACAAAGAACAAATTACACGTGGATTTGGTCAAATAAAAACAAGAGCTGGAGACAAAGATTAGACAAGACAAAGGAGCAAGCATAGCAAACAAAGAGGCTCATGGGAGTACACAAAGGACAGGAAATGGGAAAGAGAAACTGGCAACTTCTCCTTACACTGTAGGAGTATTCCCTCATTTTCTTTTCATTATGGAGCAAGAACAAAAAGAGCATTGGTAAAAGAGTTATGGGATGGTATGTAACTTTGAGTTTATTAACTGCTGGCCTCATGTTAGGCCACTTTGACCCCTGAGGCTAACAGTAATAGTGGTTCACCTCAGCAGAAGTGGGGAACGAATCAAGTAACTGCTTCAAAAACATGCTTTGGTTGGAAACTTGACCCCCTTGATTAACTAAAACCGCTGAGGTAAACACAAACAAAAAATAATGATTCAGGAGAATGTTTATTTTCTCCAAAGAGAGAAAAAAAACACAGCTCAGTGTACTCTCCCCTGGCAAACCCTCAGAGCTTACAGGGAACTATAAATCTCCATCGGAGCGGCATGTCAGTGATAAGGTCAAGGTTATTAAAAGTGCTGAATATATCATAAATAAAACAACGCCGGCGCACCGCATATACACCACTGACTTCACAGATTGTTGGTGTTTTTCTCTTTGTAAATAGGATTTTTATCTATCTCTTATATGTATTCAAATTCAAAAGCTTTTTCAGAGTGCCGTCCTTTATTCCATCTCTAGGTGGCAGTAGTGGTTAGAATAATAAAAAGCCATCAGGGAGGACAGCTGCTGCAGAGAGGCTGGCTCCTTCTGTGCTCCTTATCAGAGCTCTGAACTTCAGAATTAATTGAGGCTCTTTGTGATTCCTATTGGTAACTCTATCTCGATAATGGGAACAATGCTGTCTCTGGGGAGGAGGGTTTAGCCCTGTGAGAGGTCGGGGAGGGGTTGTCTGGAGAGGAACGGAGGGGATGAGGAGATGAGAGGCGAGTGGAGGAAGTCCAAAAAAGCGTTTTGAGAGACTCACCTCTGGTCAGATGGGTTCTCCAGAGACTCGGGACTTAAGGGAGCAAGGGGAGAAAGTCAACGGCATGCAGTGTAAGCGCAAGAGGCCAGAAGGAAAGAAGGAAGGAGGGGATGTTGTGAGCCCACTGGGTGACTCACAGACTAGTTTAGACCTGGAGCTGCAAAAAAGCATAACTTATCCGCTCTACTACAGTATCGACTGAGTCAACAGTCGATAACAACTGCTGTGTGATCATGGGAAGTATGTAGCTTAGCCCGGATCACAACAGAGCCATAAAAGAAAGAATCTCAAAGGAACTCGTCTGATCAAGACTGATGAAAAATGCACCATAATGCCCTAGAGATAAGACTTGCAGCATTTTAAAAGGGGACATATTAATATTTTCAGTTTCACACTGACTATTTTGGGTTTGTTACAAAACTATGTTTACATGCTTTAAATGTTAAAAAAAAAACACATTATTTTCATGATATGGTCTGTCTGAATATACCTCTGTTTACCTTCTGTCTGAAACGCCTAGTTTTGGGCACCTGTCTCTTTAAGACCAACTCTAAAAAGCCAGTTAGTTTTGGTTGGCTTGGAAACCAATTGCAAAGGTGGTTCCCTAGCCTTTGGTTGAGATTTTTGTGAAATATTTGCGTTGTAAAATTATTTGTTGGCTGGTAGGACCCCATATACCTTAAATGTATATGCACACTGACTGATATTTCCCCTTAAAACGTGAGCATCAAGATTAAATACACTCATGGTCCACACAGGTACAAAGGCCACCTTAAGGTCCAATTATTTACTTACTACTTTGAATTCATGATACAGCAAGCCACAGTGCAGCCGCAATTACCTTCTGCCTCGAGATGGAAGCCGTGATTGAGAAAAATTGGGCAGTTCTTTAAAAAATGTGGTCAAGCACCATATCAGTTGCGAGTCATGGTAAGATATGATTTGTCACGGAAATAATAAGCTTGAGCAAATCAAGCCTTTAGATATGGGCAGAGAGGTGAAGGGGGAGCGTTCAAAGGGTGCTGTAAATAGTAACGGCAGAATTAACCTGAGGTGAGCGCTTGACATTTTGGCCTCGCCAGCTCTTAATGGCCCCTCGAGAAATGTTTTCATTTCCCTTTACAAAATCAAATTATGCCAAATTGATCGGAACGCCTTCAGAGTGCTCGCGCCAAGGCTCCAGTTTGCTTAGGTTCACCCTCATTGTGGCCCTTAGTAAATGTGACATCCATTTAACTTTTGACAGACTGGCTCCAAGGACCACTGTCCCCTCCCGCTAAGTGAGATTGATGCCCATGGCTACACAGCGCAGAGAGAACCCAATTGGAGGTCTGATCTACAAAAGGAAGACAAATCTGTGATTAACATGTCACTGCCTCGCTCTACCCCCCGACTCTGTAATTATTCACAATTGCAGTTAGAGATCTGGCAAAAAAACTAAAAATGACAGAAGCCCTGGCATGGATTGGAACGCTGGGCTGAATCCTGTCGGCTTAATTTGAGCTAAACTCTTGCCTCGTCGCTTTGTGGGATCTTTTAAAGAGTAGGTTACTTATCGAGCTAATGAGCTGCAAGAAAAACCCTTAACAGCTAAGTCATGACCGAAGGCTTTCCCAAGCAGGAACTCTACAGGCACCAGAGTCTAGGTTAAGGGGTATTAAGTATATCCTCCTCCTTTAGTTTTCAAGGGCTCTCGTTCATTTACCACATAACAGATTCAGCGTATAGGCAATTCATTTTGTTTATGAACGAGTTACAACCATGCACACAGTATTGCACATTCTTTGTATAGCAATTCATTTTCTCTGAGGGAGTTGAGCACAATGCTAATCATGCACACATTCATGCTTCCTTTTGCACTGGGATAAATGAGGCTGCAAAATGTATTTCAAGTAATGAAATCTGTCAAAAATAAATCATGGATATGGAGCTCGAACGTAAAATCTGACTTCAAGATGATTTCTGCGTGGGAAAATATGACCAGTTACTGAATGTGCTTTCATTTATTCCTTTGGGTTAACTATAAAAAATGGATTATCTTTTTGGGTTGCTGTTAGTTAGGCTTGATTTGAAGCTGGGCAAATACCCAGTCGTAAAGTCTACTTACTCTGGAATCTCATTGGTCAGTTGGCTTGAGTGAAAAGGAAAGACAGTGAAGGACATTTATATGAAACAACACATGTGGGGACAAGGATAAGTGAGGTCAAACTGAAGGACAGGACAAAGGTCACACAACTGGAACGCTGCGACCGCGGACAAACAGCAAAGATACAGACAACGACACAAACATAAACATATCGACAGAGTTCTGTGTGTGGGCGGGAGTTGTGCATCTGCATGGAGACTCTGATGATCTGCAGGCTGCGGCCCTGTTTTTCACACCTGAGTGTTTGTGTGAAGAGCTGCGAGACGTAGATATAGAGCCATATGCTTGATGTCGTCTCAGGTTTGTCACATGAACATTTTTGTTTACGGCAACCTGGAGGCGAGCTCTTGCCAGCCTTGAAGATGGATGGAAGAGTAAAAGTGTCTCATCAGCTAAAGGGACAGGATTTATCTTTTTTTTGTACCACCTGCTCCAAAAACAATTTTACACCAAAGATGATGATTTTCTCTTCACAAAGCGTTCCAGGTGAGATGTGCCAGTTTTAATGAGAAAACGTATACACATATTAGAAACAGAATAAAATTATAATCATGTGAACTTGTTGTCCGTGAGACAGCGGGAGACCACAGAGCGTACCGGGCGCGCTCAGGGCAACGCTCTGATTGTTAACCGCCTCGCTAATTACTTAAATCCTGTCAAAAGCTGAGCAAGGCCACCATAGATGAGGGGGGGTGAGCTAGTTCACCCTGAAGCCGTTTTATCGCTGATGATATCATCAACGCTGTCTTCACGGCTTACCGAGGGGGGAGATGAATAGACAGAGGGGTTATTTGGCTAATAGCCGTTACAATGGAGATGTCGGATGAAGCCTCAGAGATGAGGATGTTCCCCTTGCCCTCTTCCTTACCTCTTTGTGACAGCGTTGTGGTACTCGATGAACGTCCGCCCGTCAAAGGCAATGGCCTCGGTCTCTCCTGCAGACTTCTCATAGATGGCTGCAAAAGCAGGGGGGGGAAAGAGAGAGAGAATGAGATCACACCAATCAATAATAGTGAGAGTTCAGTTATCAGAGCCAAAGGCGATGGAGTGTGAGGAAATGGGACAAGGAGAGAGGGGGGTCGTTTTTTTTCCGCTTTAATTAACGTGAAAGGGACAAGGTTAATGACGAAGGCAGTAAGTGAGTGTGCAAGACAGATCGAGCCGGAGTGGATGTATGTCTGGCAGGCTGACATGAATATGATGAAACTGACGGGCAACTCTTGAAAAGAGCCTTTCATGAATATTCAATCAACATGTTTCATCATTTTCAATGGTTTGAAATCAATACATAATGACCCTTACATAAAAGAGACATCACAAGTTTAATACAGCCTAGACAGAGAAGAATGGAAACCAAGGTATTATGAGCAGAAAGGAGATGAGACTATACGTTTAACTTCCATTGAGGCAGGCTAAGACCAAGCTGTGTTAAAGGAAGTATTGCTGATTTCAGTCCCACTCATACTACGCTTCACAATCACCCAAAATACTGCCTCCCAGAGTGAAACCAAGTCACGGTGGATGAGGAAATGGAACAATTTGTACTGTTTCATCCCTGTAATTTAACACTCCCATGATAAGGTGACTTCAAGCCAGAAAGTATTGCTAGTTATTGGCTTGCATGTAGACCAATCATGCTGATTTCTACAAATATATTTAGAGGAACAGATGTGTATAAGATTGTCCGTAACATGGCTGTAAGGATGGATGATATTGATTGGGAGAGATACTCACTGTTCTGACAACGGCCCCCTGAGAACCCACTGAGGCACACGCACTCGTAGGCATCCAGCATGGGGTTGCAGCGGCCGCCGTTTTGGCAGGGCTCCTGGGAACACGCGTGCTCCTGGAACATGTCGATGTTGCTGGCACGCAGGGCGTTCTCCTCTCTAAGGATCGGGGTGCCCATCAGAATGATCTGGGAGCAGCAAACACAGGGTTAACGGGCCACTGCAATGAGTTTACTTGAGGTTGCACACACAATAGGTCAGCTTTACTAGTCCTGTACTTAGACATGTTGTAAACCTTTTAAAGTTTGACCCTTACGAAGTGCTAAAAGCCGGGATATCACAACATCTTTGATTTTCATTTCTCTTGGGAGTCCACCAACTTCAAGTAAGTAAAATACTATCACTTTAAATAGCCTCAAGAGTCTGTTCCAAATCTGCTCTGATTGGTTTGCTTGTCAGCTCTGCTCCTAGCTTGTCACGTACAATAGGCTTAGAGTGCTAGCCAATAGGAGCACGGGGGTAACATAGGGATGTCATTATGTTACGGTAGGAAACAAACCTTTATAACATACTACAGGAAATGGAAAACCCTCCAAAAAAAACTAAGTAGGGCCTCATTAATCAAAAGGAATTATAATTGGTGCACATAAATGTATTACATCACTTTTTCCATGTATCCACTTAAAAGAAACTAAAATAATGATAACTTTATCAAAACATTGCTTGTTCATAGATTTACTCTTTGCTGGTTCATTCAAAGTAAGAAAGTGATTCATGAAATACTTTATATATTATAATTATATACAATAAATAATAGCATATACTCTGGTGAGGCTTTGGTACCAGTTGCAGGAAAATTCCCAATTCCCTTTGGACATTATTATCACAACAAATCTAAGAACAAAGTACTTTAAATAGTGAGGCTGTACATGTGTATGTTCTTCCTCAAACATAAACAGTTACCACACAGGTAATACTGAGAAATTAGGAGTTGCTACTGTACAAACACACGCGTTAAACAGCACATCAGACTGAAAATACACAGCTTTCCTCCTAATTAACAATTCCCTACAGAGCGAGTTAGACAAACACCACATTTAGCGTTTGATTTGCTCGAAACTGTCACAGGAAAGTTTGCAGAGGAGAACTAATGACAAGTTTGCACAAACAGTAGCATCCTGCCTTTGTTCTACTGGGTTATTTTTGGCACTCAGAGATGAGCTTTTTGCTGGAAAGTGGAGGGGAAAGAAACTGGAAGGCTGTCAGCGAAAGATCTGAGAGTAGTGAAAAGGAGGGAGTTCAAAATGAGAATTCTATTATTAGTGCATGCTAATCCAAATGAGCAGAGCCACTGCCCGTCACATTTTGAGCTATAATGGAAAATATTCTAAAATGGGGGTCTGTAGTATGACAGCTGGACAGCTAATAACTGCTTCTAAGGGCAAAAGGGATCAAAGTCAATGAAATATAAATCAGTAGGATATACAAGCAGAGCTAATGACACGATAATCCTGCAAGAGATAGAGGCTTGTAAACATTTACCTTTTGGATCGTTCCCTTGAAGCCCTCCGTGAGTGCAGCGACTCTCGCTAGCCGGCTGTAATCGGGGGCTCCGCCGACGAAAAGAGACTCTTTCAGGTTAAGATCTACGTGCAGGTTCTGATGAGACAGGACACAAAGAGGTATGGTGAGCTAGAGCTTGGTGAAATAAAAGATTAAAAAACATTGCATTTTGACTTAAACGCCCAAATTTCTCGAATTCCTCTCAATGGTCTTTATTCAGGACGTTATGGTTTATGGTTTTGATTATCCTGAGCGGAGTTATGTTTGTGTCCAGGGAGCATGAAATAAGTTGTATTCTTTTAGTCAGAACATAAAAAGTGAGATTAATAAACCACATTTGCAGACGTGTCACACTCAAGGATCTAGACAGACTATCCACATTGTAGCCGGCAGTCGCTTTAACTGTGCTTCTTCGCCTTCTTTCCACGTCAATACACTTGATACATTAACACATAATGCATTTCAGCGCCTCTCAGAGAGAGTGGTCAATTATCCTCTATCTGTGAGATATAAAAGGGACTACAAAGAGAAATCAGGAGCAGGCTGGAGTGGAGATATGGATGCTTCTTTACAGACATCTCTAATGAATGGCTGCTCATACGCGCCGACCTTTCAAACAGTTGAGCGTGGAGACACATTAATTGCGATTCATTTGCGCCGAAGACGTCTATGAAATTCGATTCTTTCCACCGAACCTTTGGGACAATTGCTATGCATTAGCAAGGTGCTGCTGCTGTCTTTCACACGGAAATAGGTGGCCCACTTCAGGAGGAAGAGGGTTAATGATCTTTATTTTATGTAGAGCAGTAATTGCCAGAGGGGTAAAGTGGAGTTAATTGCTGGAAAAATTATGGAAGGGGCCAAATAAACAGGGCTTTGTGAAGCTGAGCTGGCATTGGGCGGGCTTTTATTTAGGATGGGATTTGGAGTGAAGGAGGCGGCGGCTGGTGTCAATGCACCTTGAGCCGCTTCCAACGGAGAGTCTGGGGACGCGAGCCAAAAGCTGTTCTTCACCGGACAAAGCGTTCCAATTTACCTCTCAACCTCACGCACACATCCATATGGGGGTGAGAAGGTGGGAAGAAGACAGTCATCCATACAACAATGTTGGCGAAGCTGCCAGTAAAGGCAACGTTCTCATTGGGAGCCAATTGGGGTTCAGAGTTTTGCTAAAACATTTCGACATGTGTATAGGAAGAGCTGGGGATTGAACTGCCGACTTTGCTGTCCACGGCCGCTGCAGAGATGGTGCTTTCTGTTTATTCTGTAGACGCACAGCTGCTTTCTATGGAGTGATTGCGCTCGGTGAGAGGTGTTGTTATGAGTGAACAAGCGGCTTTGTGATTATTATGGAGGATTGTTCCAGAAGAAGTGAGAACAGATGACAAAAGAACAGCTCGGCTTGGCTTGCCACCTCACCGTCTCCTACGGGCTATTTCCTTCGCTCGCCTTCCCCTGTCTTCGCTCGCACTTTCCCGACAGCCACGCGGCGCTGGCGTGATATCGCCGCCCACGCCGCACTAATGAAGACGTCTCTTTGTTGCTAAAAACAACGGCCGTCACAAAGATGACTGTCTTCTTCCCACCTTCTCACCCCCATTCCACCCCCACAGCAGATGGACTGAGGTGAAAGCCAACCCGCATTCTTTGAGAGCATCTCTACTTCAGCACTGTTTGTGTGTGTGTGGATTTATGAAATGGCAAAGTTTTTCTACAGAACTGGCAGTTTTTAAAGCTGTCTGCGGCTCTGCAGAAGTACCTTTTTTTAATTGTGGATTACTCTGTGCTCTTTGTTGCATGGAGAGATGGGGTGAGAGGACAAAGTGAAGGATTCAAATGAAACATGGGCGAAGGTGTGACCGGGACTTGTCTCATTACCTTTCGTGATTTCTTATTTCCAGACAGCACATCATAGAGAAAGAAAGACAAATAGGGAGGAAGAGAGTTATTAGGGGAAAACTAGTAAGTGTTTGTGCACAGAGAAGCATGCAGAGCTAGAGCAGGCAAGTGCAAAAGCCCACAAAACACACACACACACACACATAATCCCATTTACACACACGCATGCACATCTGTAAGAAAAATCCACAGAGCTGCAGTGTAGCACGGACAAGTGGGATTAAAATGACATTAAAAATAACCTTTTTTCCACATGCATCTTGGCACTTCAAAAGCTATGCACGCTTGATTTTACACACAAGAGCAGTGGTGGCTCTTCCTGTCCAGAAAAAGGCATGTTTTTCTGGACACAAAATATGTTTTTTTTGTTTATTTTGTGATAAACTGAAAGTGTTCCTTCAGGAGTTTAGAAAATCCTTCTTTTAAGATCAATACACTCTTTAGAAACCCTCTTGGACCCACTGAAAACAGGAGTGTTTTCTGAGAAACTCATGAGAAGTTGAAGTTTTCACAGTTCTCACAACGAGAAAAGCTAAAAATATGATCTTAAATCTTAAAGAATATGATGCATTGCAGTAGATTAAATTAGTAAACCGTGTATGAACTCGTTAATGATAGCATAAGACATCTACAACAGTAAAATGCTACATAATGCAGCTGTAATATTAATCCTAAAGCTTCAAACATTTGACATATTGCTAATTATATAAACATGTAGTTATTTAGGTGTAGTATCCAGGACCTTTTTCTGTATTCTCCCTGTTTGGTATTAGCATTTGTACTTAAGTATTTCAATACTTATTCCACCACTGCTGTAGAGAGTGAACACAAAGAAAACAAGAAGGCCATGCAGGAAGCAGATGATGAAAGAAAAACCGTTGTGGATGAGAGTGTGAGTGGTGCCACTTCTCCACCCAACCTCATTTACAGACTGCTGCCATTCAGCAGAGGTGCAGCTGATGTTTATATCTCATATGCGTACCTATGTGCCTATGAAAGTATGTACTTCATCATGCTGGCAGCTGAGCCGTCTTTGATACGGAAAACACTCCCAGCATGCAATGTAAGTCCATACATGTGTGTGACCACCTTTGATATGATGCGGCTTCTTTACGCAAGCACTATAACCCCCTCCCTAGTTTTTAAAACAGAGAATTAGTTAGGACAGGCTTTCTGCATTGAGCTTCATAACTAGTCTCTGCTCAACCCTTGCACCCCCCTCAACCCCCCCCTTCAGCACCACCATCTTTGCCTTGCTCTCCTCCTTTAATAAGATTTTCTGCCTCTGTAGCTGGAGTAAAACACAATTACCATAGGGACGATGGGAGGCAGTCAGGGGAAGGACAGAGGGGGAGCGCTGCATCTTTGAGGAAGATGAGTTGACAGAGTGCATGTTCATAATCACAAATTACACTCTTTAATATAATTGGATGACTTACAGGCTAATCAAACTATTAGATCGCCTTCATTTAGAAGCATGTACCTGCTTTATTGGTCTAGACGCGGGGCTGAGGAGTTTCATTACACTCTCCTCTCTGCTGCTCTCGCCTTTATCTGCCTCCATCTCCCTCTTTCTCCCCAGACACCACCTCAGAGGCTGAATTTATAAAATTGACTGTATACCAGCAGTAAAAGCTAGTGTTTGTGTTCTGTATGCTACACCGACTTTTATCTCCCAGCAAGCTGAAAGGCAGATAGATTTTTTTTCTCTTTTTGAGGGGAATTACAGGACTTTCAAAATGAAGACAGCTTGTCAAACTGGCCCTCTACATCTGGAGCTCTCATTCTTACCTTGACTGGCGTCGAGGGGGAAGCGGCATACTTTCAGCAAATCAAGTCGGTACAAACACATAGTGTTGAAAATCTTAGCAAAAAGGGCAGGCAATGCTGATTCAACTGAGCCCCAAGGTTGTGGCGATGACATAATGAGAGCACACAGATGATCAAACATGAACAGTATAGTAGTTCAGGCACAAGCAAGGCATAGCATAGGACAGGCCCGTCACCGTTAGCAGGAGCTTGTTAGCTAGCTCTTTCTTACCGGTGCCTCTCCTCGGACGGGGTCCTTCTTGTTCACCATGATCTCTCCTTTGCGGTTGGAGCGCTCTAGGTTGATGGTGTTCCACACATTCAGCTGGATTGGTTCCATGCTCCTGAATCAAACAAATAAACGAACAAACACTTGGGTTGGTTACCTTTTAGGAAACAAAGGCCTCTTTTCACCTGTGGCATGTTCAGGTGTCATTTTATGTCATTCTAACACACCATAATATATTTTTCACATCCTGTCCTTATATGGAAACCCTGAGAGGCAAATTAGTAAAAAAAAACACCTTTCTAAGTCTGATCTACTTTTTTTCCTGCTGTGTTTATGAGATAGAACAAAATATGTTTCTAGGTGTATACAGGCAGATTTTTTTTTACGTATACTTAATTCCTAATCACATTAAAAAAATGACACCGAGGATATGGATCAGCCATTTATTTTCCCTTGCCTCTCAGGGCTTCTGTGTAAATTAATCTTAAATGTTGCTGACCTGATGGTTGCGGGTCCCTTCCCCAGATCGTAGCGGAACTCCAGGATGCCCTCATTGAGGGACAGAGAGATGAAGTCTCCTTTTCCGTCCGATTTCTGGCCGTTGTAGAATATCAAACCGTTGGAGCTGTTGGCCTTGAGAATCACCGTCATGCTGACCTTTTGACTGCAGAAACACAAACAAAGTTTACTATGAATTCTACATGCTTAGGCATACAGATTGTCCTTGTCGCTTCAGTTAAAGCTGAGACTCACCGCAAATCGTGCCCGTAGAGGTGAAGTCCCTTCAGCTCCACGTAAGAGTCTCCGTCGAATAGCGGCATATAAGCCCCTCTCTTCTCAGCCACTGGAAAAACAAAGAGACTATATTCATCCTCAGGTCCCCTTTTTGTTGCTGACAGAATTGAAATTCAGGAGTAGTCAGTACATCTTTCAGGGACCTGTCAGCATTATGGAAAGAGATGGATTTATGTTTTCATTGCTTTCAGGATTAAGACTTTCTCTCGAAGGAAATTCAAACAAAAAAATCCTTATGTCAGACGATTACACAGCCCGCCACAGTGTCACAAAGAACCTTTGGAGACATGTGGAGTTTTACACCAAAGCCGGGACCCATGATATAATGCAGCAATTGTGTTTTGGCAGGACTTTTTACAAATGACTGTCTTTGCGATGGCTCTACATCTGGCTGTCTGCAGTGATTAGGACAGGCACCGTGCAATCCTTCTAACAAGTGGCTTGACATTAAAAATCGTTCAAGTGTCACCCGGGGGTATGTGTTTATGGTGCAAAAACTACCAACATTCAGAGGCCTGTGCAACGCTTGACGCTCTAACACACATATATGTAGCCGAAAAAAAGCTTTTGTTCGTAATTGGGTGGGATTAGAGACGAGTCAGGATGGGGAAGGCAGACGGAGATGAGAAAGCTAATTAGCTATTGTGCACAAGACTGCTAATGATGATGGCACGCACCATGCAGAAGTGGGAAAAACAGTCTAGGATTTGCGCGCTAAACTGAACTCTATTAAAGTAGAAGAGCCGCTCAGGATGTAGTTACTTAAAGAGATTGGAAGGGGGGATTCATCTTGTGTTTCAAAATGAAAGCACCGCGATCAATAAATCACCAGAGGTCCAGGCATTGGAATGAGTTGAGTGACCAGGAAAACCCACATGGCGTGCGGGGAGTGAAGCTTGACGTCTTAGAAAAGTTGAATTTTGTCAGATTTATTTAAAAACGCAGCAGAAATAAGTCCCTGGAAAGCGATGCTCAGGGAGCCGTTGCCTCTAGTTCTCTTGTTGACGTAAGCTCAGAGGTAATTTTGTTTGGATTTGAGTAATGCTGCTTAATTAGTACCCGCTATAAAACCCATCAAAACAATGTAAAATAAGGATTGGCAATATCAGAGCAGCTAAAATGCACATTTTGCTAGTTCAAAAACGTTGTAGCTGCAATCAAACCTCATGGTGCTGCCCCCCAATCAATCGGCTCTTCAACAGATTAGCTGCAGTGTGAATCAGACACACACACTCTCTCTCAGGTGCTGTTTACACGAGAACGCAAACGGTTGTATCCGCTACTTTTCTCTTTCGCATAGCCCGTTCATTCACAAGAGGCCGTAACGGAAACGCGGAAACGGACACAACAAACGATAACGGGTTCCAAGGTGGATAGATCTGCAAACGGAACACTCTGGGGG